TCTTAGATGATTCAATAAAAGCCCCTGAAGTATTTCTGAGCCTCAAAATAGTTGTTAATAAATAACATTTTAGTTCAAATGAGGTAACTGATTATGGTAAATGCATAAAGATAATTCAATGAATGTAACCTTGATAACCCCAAAGATCTAGACAAGGAGATGAGTAAACTATGGCCTAAGGGCCAAATTAGGCTTGCTGCCTGCTTTTTAGACAAAGTTTTATTGGACCACAGCCATACTACTTATTTATATAGCGTCTCTAGCTGCTACACAGTGGCAGAGCTGTCATAACAAGGACCGTGGAAACCACCAAACCTAAAGTATTTACTATCTTACCCTACACATTTAAAAACAAAAAATGCCTAACCTTCATCTAGAATGAGATTAGGCTCTGTGATATTGGGCAAATTACAGTTCTCTCTTAGCTTTAGTTTCTCCATCTGTAATGATGATTTTTCTTTTTTCACATCACATTGTCCTAAGAATCAGTGCAGTGGAGTGGATGGGAAAACACTTTGTAAATTCAAAATCACGGTGGAATTTGTGCAGGCATGATTTTGTAGTTCTGATCTGTGCTAGAGGAGAATCTACCCAGGACATTGTGCTTTGTTTTCCAGTCCCTGGAGTCAGTGTGTTGTTGTGTTCTCTCCTCCCTCACAAATGCAAAATGAATTCCCCAGGTACTCCCTCTTTGCCCCTTTTTCCTACAAATGTACAAACCATTCTGGTCATATACTTCCAGAAGTGGAAGATTAATACAAATGCCTACAGTGATTCTTTAAGTTATTAAGCATTTTTGAGTACCTACTATGTGCAAGGATGGAAACTTTTGTAAGGTAGTTCTTGTGAAATATTTGGTTTCTTAGGGGAGAAATTAAATATAAAAATTATTTTAACAGAATAAAAATCTTGCCTTGTCATACTGGAATACATTGTGTGTGTGTGTGTGTGTGTGTGTGTGTGTGTGCGCGCACGCGCACACATGCCTAGGCTTTATAAAAACAGAAATATTTGGTTCAGATTTAAGAACACCTTGTTAGATGGTTGTAGTGGCGCATACCTGTAATTCCAGCACTCTGGGAGGCTGAGGCAGGAGGATAGCACATTTGAGCCCAGCCTGGGCAATTTAGCAACCTAAGTGAGACTGTGTCTCAAAATTTAAAAAGTGCTGGGGATTTAGCTCAGTACAAAGGCCTTGGGTTCAATCCCAAGTGTACCACCTAGAGGAAAAAAAAAAAGAACAGTTTATTCAAAACAAGAACCTGTAAACTTTAGTCCAAAATACTGAAGGGCTTTTAAATGTAGCAATTATGTACAACAATTTTCTCTTGAAAATTACATTCTGAATTATAAATTCTCACCCCAGCCTGCCATGAATATATTTCCTGCTAGAACATGCTAAGCTTGCCTATGCCAGCTGGACAGGATTATTAGGGACTAATCAAATGTAAGGGTTATAGGCCATGCCGGCATCAAGGAGCCAGATATTCATTATAGCTTCTAAATCTTGGAGTCTTTATTTCATATCTTATTTTTTCAACAAAGATAATTCAATTAATGTAATCTTGATCATTTTGTTTTTTATTTGTTCAACTTGCCACAAAATAAACTTATAAATTGGAAACAAAAGTAAAGTTTGTTTTAATTTTCTGTTCTTAAAACACTGTTGAGTATCTGTATGATCAAATCTTGTTACTGTTGATAAAGGGAGACGATACAGCTGTTTGAAAAAGATAAAAACAATAATGAGAAGATATTATTTGCTTATGAAATGTAGGTACATGCGCACTTAGCTCTAGGCTCCAGACTAGGTCCACTGGGGCCTCCCAGCATGATGACTCTTTGGTCCTTACCGAAAAAGTGTTGATATTCTTTATGAATATGTTTCATCTATAGTTTTCCATGTAAATTTAAATACAGAACTGCAGATCCCAAACCCATCACCAGTAGATAGTCACCAAAACTAAAACAAAATTTTTTCTCCTTTTACTCTCCCCCTTTATTTAAACAGTTTCTAAAGAAATGAGGCTTGAGTGTTTATGTTTTCTATCTAGAGATTTAATTTTCTATAGGGCATTTTAAAAGACAAAGCTAGAGGGCTGGGGATTTACCTCAGCAGCACTGTGCCTGCCTTGCAAGCACAAGGTCCTGTGTTTTATCCCCGGTACCAAAAAAATTAAAATAAAATAAGAGAGAAAACTAGATCCAAGAATAGTTTTATTAGACATAGCTGGACTCCTCCTGTGATGGTGAGAAGCAAGTGAAGAGAACCTGCTTGTGAACTAGGCTAACCACAGGTGTTTCATTGTGCTGCCAGTGTATGTTATGTCTTTCAATTCACAGGCAAGTTTTTCTCTCCTCTTGTTCAATCCAGTACTCTGTTTTAGAGTTTGCAGTTCATTATTTTACATGAAGAAGAGTCTCTATTGTTTCCCCCTTCCTTTCTGAAATGGCATTCATCTGATTTTCAGTTTTCTTCAAAGCACCTTCATTCTTGATGTTAAATTCAGTCTTTCTAAACCTAGGGCAGATGGTGATAACAACACAGCACTTATTATAATCAGGAGCACAGGTGATGGTGGATTTGGGACTCATATAGGCACATGGGTTGATATGATATATCTTGCTTATCAAGAGTCCTTTCCCTCACTTGACCTTTGGAACTTCCCTAAGACCTGAGCCTGAGTATGTTTTTCTTTCACCGTATGCAAAGGTCTAAAACAGAGATACAATGTAGAAACTATGTTCAGTATGTTTATTTCAAATTTCCATCAATATATGAATAATCTTAGAGGGATAGTGTATTGGAAACAGGCACCATTGGTACACATGATATATTTCTCCACGTAGATTGAATAGGAGCTTTTTCAGTGTCAGGTCTAAAGTTTGCAGTTAAATGATGAGTGTTTTCTTTACCTTTTTCATATTCTATTTTGATTTTACACAAATTAAATTGGCCAGGAAAATGGGCCATCTAACCAGTTTCCTAGAACTTATGTATAACGTTTATTATTGATATAATTGCTTTTAAAATTCCCTTTAAAAGCTGCTCAACTTGGTGGATGGCTATTTTTTTTAAAAAGTGATTATGAGAATATTTTAGTACAACAATTTTTAAGGTTTCCTATATATATATGGTAAATATGACTGAGAAATTTGCATGATGAAAATAGATTTAATTAGGTGAATTTAGTTAGGTTTGATGAGGTAGTGCCTAATTTAGGATAAATGATATTTTTAAACCAATGAAATTAGTCTCTTGTATTTCTACATGTGCAAAATGAAGTTTCTCAGAACATGTGGTAGGGTTTTATAATCCACACATCTCTCTCCTTTTTCCTTATCTTCTCTCTCACTCTCTCTCTCACACGCGCGCACACACACACACACACACACACACTCACCATTCACATACTACACTTACACAGTAAGAAAGAGAAAGTTTCCACCAAGCTGGAGTGTGCTCAACACTTGTCTTCCCTCTTCAGTTACTAATTTTGGTTGGTGAAGGGCCTATCTGGCAAAGTTTTCCTTTGTCTTTACTGTTCTAACCCTGTTTTTCCAAAATGTAAAGGTATACTCTGATATGTAGAAGGTACTGTCATTTTGAGTTTTCCATTTGAGTTTCCTCATGATTCTCTTTCCTTCTATCCTATGAAGGATAACAAAGTCACCAAATTTTTGATCCAGAACCCAACTTGTTTTCCCAGGTCCCCTCCTACAACCAACACAAACACAGACATTTACCAGCAAAACAGAAGCTGTTGGAAATATTTTTTGGCTGCTGAAATGGGCTCCTGTCACCAGGACATGGCAGACTTTGCTGTATTGTCTCCCAGCCCTGGCCCCAGTACTCCAAAGAGAGCTTTATGTAATCAGTCTTTCCTGACATGTGACGTCCTGTCATTTTCCTCCCCTTCAGCTCCACTGCCGCCCACAAATCAATAACATTGCCTGGGAAATTCAAGCTGGTTTTGCAGCCACCACAAGCTCTGTGTTTCTTAAAGGGTATGTCAGAAAATGTAAAGTTTCCTAATGATATTTCTGGCTGATGACACATGGCAGAGCTGATGGACTATTTATAATCAGTGGCACGATCGCAAGCACATTATTTTTATTTCACTAAGGGGGGAGCCCTGTCACTTGCTACCTCTCTTTGCAGACAAGTCGATTCTATCCCCACCTAACATAGCTAAATCCTCTTTGCAAAATGTGTTTGCACTCTCACCTTTGTTAGGAGCTCCCCAGTTCCTTCCAGTAGAAACCCCCACCCTCCTTTTTTTTTATTGTTCTTTGGCTCAGGGGATGAGAAAGGCAAAGAATGATTTGTAGAAACTGCTTTAAATTCTGGCTATGCCTGCATCCTTCACTATAAATGTCTCCAGTATTTGCTGCTCAGATCCTGCTACATCCCTCTGAATGTGGGTGTGACTGGCATGACCAAGGCAATAGACAGAGCTACTGTGTCCACCACTTGTCCCAGTTTTACGGTAAAGCAGAACAGAGCTGTCCTTAGTTAAGCACTTTTATATACAATATTTTACTAACCTGTCTGAGGTAAATGCAGTTATCTTGAGTAGAGATCTGGGGAAAATGGAAGATTAAATGGAATCTCTACAAAGGCACACAGCTGATAGAGAAAGCACCAGGACTCCAGTTCAAGTCTCTTTTAACCAACTATACCTGCTCTCTTCCTACTACCCTGTCCTGACTTTTCCTGGTTATGTAGACTTTTGTACACATTGGGTGTGGATGTGTAGAGACACTTTTTTAGCTTGGGGAGATCCTGTGAATTTAAAGACTAACCGAAGTGAGAGATGGAGGAATTAAAAACCTCTCAATCTGAGATAAAACCTGGTGTAAAGAAATCATACACCAGAAGAGGGCTTTGACCCACTGCATTGGGAAGTATTGCCTCTGTAAAGATACTGAGCTCTCTCTCTCTCTCTCTTTCTCTCTTTCTCTGTCTCTCTCTCTTTGTCTTTTTAATGTTTCCACAGGACAGAGTTTAGGGTATGGATTTGTTAACTATATTGATCCAAAGGATGCAGAGAAAGCCATCAACACTTTAAATGGACTCAGACTCCAGACCAAAACCATAAAGGTAAGAGGTGATACACTGGCTCCTGATTCAGGAGGCCCTGGTTAAATTCATTCTGTGGATCTAAGAAATCTAGGCTATGCAGGAGTCAGAAGTCGTGCTCCCTGTTCATTCAAAGAACATTTATTGTCCAGTCTACTAAATGTGGGACACAAGCCAATAAAAAATGTAAGGTGAGAGCTGAGAAGGAAGTGGCTAGCTATAGGACCTCCAATCCAGAAGGCAAGGCAGATGAGGTGTCTGGGATTCAAGACCCCACCAAAAGGGCCTGTCTGCCTGAGTCTGTAAAGAGGCCAGGAGCAAACCAAGGGAAAGATGAGACAAGAAAGCTGTTTGAGGCATGAAGAATGTGGCCTAAATTTGGCCAGGAAGTAATAAGATTAGGATGGGTGGTAGGCAAGTCCAAGTCAGGAATCCTTATGCACTAAACTGAGTGGCTTGGCTTTACCTAAATATGGTTAGGACTCTCTTAACCAAGAATTGGAAAGGAAAAGCCAGTTAAAAATTAACACACTTGTATAGTAGAGACGAGTGCTATAAAATCAATGAGAACATAGTAAAGGAACAAGAGAAATAGTAATGTTCTAGCAATATGAAAATATTCAGGCAGGTAGATAATACCTCAGGAGTGCTTATTTTAAATCAAATAAAGAAAACAGTAATCCAGAGCCCATTCCTCTAGTAGGTAAATGTTTCTCTGACTTCACTTGTGGGATCCTTCAGGAGGTGCTGCTTTCTTCAAGGAGTCCTCCTTGGGCAGCCAGTTGCTGGTGGTCTCCTGGATGAAGCCAGCCACTTCTTGGCCTCCCTTACCCTTCTTCCCCCACCTCCAGGCAGCATCCTGTTTAGGGGCAGCTGCCAGCCAATTAATGAGTCCCATCCTTCATAGCCTATTAAACCGCAGGGAAGTGTCTCCTGGGCGCTCTTATCCTCATGACAGCAGGTCTGACGCAAAGTAGGACAAAAGAGAAACCTCTCCCAGAATGGAAATCTATAGATGGCACCAGCTCTCAGCATCTGAAAACACAAAACCAGAACTTTTTAGTCCAACAAAGCTACTTTTCCAACATCCAGACTGACAGAAGAGACTACCGGTCTAAGATATTCTTAGCTAGTAGGTAATCAAAACAAAAACAAAACAAAGCCTTCTCTTTTTGGAATATATTATATGATTTTTTTAAAGCAGCTTTGCTTTTGCAATAGAGTTTAGCTTATTTCTAAAGATGATTGCTTTCTCTGATTTCTTTCAGTCTGTGCTACACAAAAGACCCCAAAATGGGCCTGGTTCAGGGAGGCTCAGCCTAGGCTTAGAATCTGTTCCTGTAAGTTCTCTAAAGGGAAAATAGTCAAGAATTGTTTAATTGTGGGATAGTCACCTGAGAGGCAGAAAGATTAATTTCTTTTAGAGGGAAAACATACCATTTTTCATGCTTTTAAATAAAAAATAAAGGATGCTGGGGTCATCTCTTTGTAAGGTTATTCTAGGTTGAAAGCTGTATTTGTGCAGTTGATTGATTTTCTGTGCTCTTCTGCTCAGTATTAGAATGTCGGGTATTTATTCTAATGGACACCGACCTTGAACTGAGAAGGATACTTTTCTTTCCTCTACAGTTTTCTTGAAACCCAAACTTCCCCAAAGGCTTGGGATAAAATCATCAAACATCAGTTCTCCCTTTTTATAAGTAGTTCATAAGGTCCCTGGGGTTTGCTCAGACTGAGTGGACTTGGTTTTTCTGGTCTCAGAATGCACCCCTGGCCCAACATACTGTCAAGCCCTTGAAGTAGACCTTGAAGTCAAGCAACATTATTTTCTGTGAAGAGCCAGTCTGCCTCCTTCCTTTATCTATATCCCTTCTTCCACCCTCTCACCCACCCGAGGTTCCCCTTGCATTAAAATGCTGCCAACACATTTGCACCCAACGGAAACGTGGGCTCCTGAAGAACTGTAGGATTCAAAATGCATGATGCCACGGCTGAATCAATAATTTCCATTCTCTGCTACGAATGAAAATTTAATGTGCAAACCTAGGGATTTCAGCCCTTTCATTAAAGCAGTTTATTTGCCGTACTAAAAGTTAAGTTGAGTGATAGGTTCCTTTATTAACTTTTCTTTCCTTTCCTAAAGGGACACAGTGTTTAAGGTAAAAATCATATTAAAGGGGGAAAAAAAGCAAACTCTTTTTGTGTGCTGTTAATAGTCTCATCATTTATTAATTTCTTAAAATTGCTTTTTTGCCTTTCAGGCCACTGTTTACTTCTTCCGCTTCAGTTTGCTTTGATAAGTGGCATGAGATTTATCTCTTTGCTCTGACTCCCCATGAAGGAATAGATAACTTGCCAATCTGGAAAAAACAAACATCTTTTTTGGAAGCCTGCATTACAGAGATCTCCTTGGAACCATCTAGTACATTTTGTGAACTTTGGTCATGTTTATCCCTTCTTTTCACATTTCTGAGTGCAGCCTACAAAACACTCAAAGTTTAATGCACAAAATAGGTACAGGTAAATCAGGAGTTAATTCTAAAACTGTGAAGTTTGATGATTAGCAGCCCTATTCAGAGATGGTTCTGGAAAGCCCTGAGGGTGTGGTGGTGACTGGTTTGACTTGTAGATAAAAGGAGCAGCTTTTCTAAGTGATGGTGATCACGATTGTTTCCAGATCTTCCAGTTGTTCAATAGAAACGAATAGCTGCATTTGTTTAAATGTCAGTTTTCCCAAAAACTAACTATGAAAAAATTAAACCATTATGTAGTAAGACCAAACAGAACTTAATAGCTGACCTTTGGGCTGGCAGTTTGCAGCCTCCAAACTAAAATTTAAATATGCAAACACTGTTTTACGAATTGGTAGTGGATGGCTCATTACTGAGCTACTAGTAGAAGGTGTCCACAAATGATGGTTCCCTGTCAAGAATAATCCGTTTTACCTATATTAAAGGGGATATAAAGTGACTGTGAATACTAAAGTCATGTGCAGGGCAAGCCCAGACCTCTGGTAAAGAAAGCAGAGAAAGGGGATGCTGCATAGTTGCACCATTAATGAGTAGTTGTGGATGGTGACTTCAGATTATTTGCTCTTTGGAATTTAACCCCTCTATTGGGAGATTTCTATCTCTCATCTTGGAAGTCAAGCTCGGAAATGAAGTGACTGGTGTCCAAAGCCACACCTCTGGCCAGGAGTTGAGGTGGAGTTAGAACCCAAGGGGCCTGTGACAGCCTATTTCAGAAGAGGAGCTGCTTAATGTGTAAGCATGTGCTTGGGAGGAAATAATAATAGGAAATAATCATAGTGCTAATTTACATCAAGCATTTGCACTGTGTCCAGTACTATCATAATCTTTTTACACACTTGTTATTTAATTTTTGAACTATTCCTGGGCTAGATGCTTTACACACATCAGCTATGTGTCTTTTAAAAAGACCTATAAGAGGATACTGGTATCTTCTTTTATACTAATCGAGAAACTGAGGCCCAAGAAGTTAAGAGACATATCCAGGACCACAAAATTAGTAAATGAGATTTAGAGTAAGAGAAAACATTTTAAAAATAACCCTGGCAATAGGTCATAAGTTTTAAAACGTTGGACTGCCTCTTTGCTCAGCAGCACTTGTATCCTGTGAGGGTATGTATTCAGTTCTACAAGGACACATACAGGTTATACTCCCTGACATGAGAAGGAGATATAAAAAACAAACAAATGAATTGCTTAGTTCCTCCAGGTTCTTCAGTAAGCAGACTTGTGGTTCAGGATTTCTGCCATTAATTTGGGAACACACCTGACTTCAAATAATTTCTTCTTGAGCTTTTGCTTTCAAGGCTGTGTGCTGAGGTCTGGGATTTAGGTAAACCAGAGATGGTAGCGCCCTAGAAGTGTTCCTATACAAGTGTGTCAGGGAGCCATGGGGTATGTATGGACCATTGGCCTTCCAGAGCAGCCTAGCATCCCACTTGGGAAGCTGGATCATTTGTCAGTGTTTCAACCCTGAGCCTAATAGAAATGATTTTGGCCCGTGCTTTTTTTTTTTTTGGTACCGGGGATCGAACTCGGGTCCTTGCACTTGCATAGCAGGCAGCGAAACCACTGAGCTAAATCCCCAGCTAGAAATGCTTTTGGATACTACTTATTAGCTTTTCTTCTTCTAGTTGTTTCCAACAACTGGCTCTAAAGGATCTCAGGGTCCTCTAAGACTCTAGGAAGCATTGATGAAAAGGCTGTGGATTCTGGAAAAAGTTCCTGGTACTCTTTGACCCCCACACCTAATGCCTGTTCCAGCCCTGACCCTCTCCTGGGTCTAAAAGAGCATCTTCTGAGTACACTGTATTTTTAGCCTCTAGTACTAAGAAGTGCTCAGTTGAAACCAGCTGCATTTGGTTCAGTTCTTTGTCACATTAAGGGCAAAGAAAATTAAATGGTTCTATACCTTCAAAAGAGGAATATGTTCACCACATATTTGGTTGGGTTCAAGTTACACTGAGAACCTTCAGTAAAATGTGATTCAAATGGAATTTAAGGATTTGGTATCACTCCTGCTGAACGTTATAGAGTGGTAGGGCACCTTTTTGAGTCTTAATCTAAGTGTGAGGAGCAGGACTGGAGAGGCGTTCAGATTGACATGCCTCCAGGCTCTCCCACTCAGGGGGCATACAGACAACCAAGCGGCAATTTCAATGCAGTGCACTGGGGGCCATCAGAGCCTGCAGAGGTTCCCATTGGATGTTGTTGGGGAGATAGAGAGCTGTGCAAGGTGTGAGTGAGAGAGGTGGTCAAGGTAAAGTTGCAAGAAGACTCTTCTGTCAGTGGCCTGCCATGTAGTGTTTGACGAATGAAACCAGTACCTTGCAGGCAGCTGTGGTAGGTTTTGTTGCCTTAGTCGCTGGTTTTCATCAGCTCTTTTAGGAGCTTTTTCACTCATTTCAAAAGTAAGATATGTTTATTTCTAAATAATTTGGAACACACAATCATATCATGATATCAGCCATTCCCAGCTCAACAGTATTGACA